AAAAGTGATATCTCAAAACAGCAAGCTAAAGATAGACTTTTTTTATTGAGATATAATTGGCATGTAACATTGTGTTAGTTTTGGGTGCACAACATTGGGTGGTTTGGTGTATGTATATGTTATAAAATGATCACCACAGTAAATCTAGTTAATATCCATTACCACACATAGTTACAAGTTTTTTTCTTGTGATGAAAACTTTTCAGATCTAGTCTTTTAGTAACTTTCAGATATACAATATTAATGGCTATAGTCACCATACCTTTTGACCAGCTTCATCCATTTCAGCCCCCCATCTCTGACAACCACCAATCTGTTCTCTGCATCTATGAGTTTGATTTTTGTTTTCTGTTTTTAGATTTCACATATAAGTGGCATTTGTTTTTCTCTGTCTGACTTATTTCACCTATTATAATGCCATCAGGGTCCATCCAAGTTATTGGAAACGGTAGGATTTCCTTTTTTTTTTTTAAGATTTTTTTTTTATTTATTAGAGAGCACAAGCAAGGGGCGGGGCAGAAGGAGAGGGAGAAGCGGACTCCCTGCTGAGTGGAGGGCTTGATCCCAGGATCCTGAGATCATGACCTGAGCTGAAGTCAGATGCTTAACTAACTGAGCCACCCAAGCGCCACCCCCCCTTTTTTAAAGTAGGTTCTACACCAAGTGTGGAGCCCAACACCGGGCTTGAACTTAGGACCCTGAGATCAAGACCTGAGCTGGGATCAAGAGTTGGACACTTAACCACCTGAGCCACCCAGGTGCCTCTCCTTTTTTTTTTTTTAATGGCTAAATAATATTCTTGTGTATGTGTGTGTGTGTATCACATTTTCTGTATCTATTCATCCATTGGAGGACACTGGGATTTTTTTTCTACATGTTGCCTATTATAAATGATGCTGCAGTGGACATGGAGGTCCCAGTAGCTTTCCAAGTAGATATTTTCATTTCTTTTGGGTAAATACCCAGAAATGGAATTGCTGGATCATATGATAATTCTATTTTTAATTTTTTTGAGGAATCTTCATATTGTTTTCTGTAGTAGGTTCACCAATTAACATTTCTCACCAATAGTACACAAGGGTTCCCCTTTCTCCACATCCTTGCCAGCACTTGATATGTCTTGTCTTTTTGATAATAGCTATTCTGAGTGTGAGGCAATATCTCATTATGGTTTTGATTTGCATTTCCCTGATGATCAGTGATTTTGAACATGTTTTCATGTACCTATTGGCCATTTTTATGTCTTTTTTGGAGAAATGTCTACTCAGATCCTCTGCCCATTTTTAATTCAGATTATTTGGGGTTTTTTGCTATTGAGTTTTATGAGTTCTTTATGTTTTGATTATTAAACCCTTATCAGATACATGATTTATAAAATTTTTCTCCATGTAGGTTGCCTTTTCATTTTGTTGATGATTTCCTTTGCTGTGCAGAAGACTTTTAGTTTGATGTAGTCCCATTTGTTTATTTTTGCTTTTGTTGCCTTTGCTGTTTTGGTATCAAATCCAAAAAGTCATTGCCAAGTACCTTTACCACCTATGATTTCCTCTAGAAGTTTTATACTTTTAGGTTTTATATTCAAGTCTTTAATCCATTTTGAGTTGATTTTTATGTATGGTATAAGATAGTGATACAGTCTACTTCTTTTTCATGTGGCTGTCCACTATTCCCAACATCATTTATTGAAGAGACTGTCCTTTCCCCATTGTATATTCTTGGCTCCTTTGTCATAAATTAATTGACCATATATGTGTGGGTTTCCTATTCTGTTTCACTGATCTATGTGTCTGTTTTTATGCCAGTACCATACTGTTTTGATTACTATAGCTTTGTAATGTGGTTTGAAACAAGAACATGTGATGTCTCCAGTTTTGTTCCTTTTTCTAAAGATTGCTTTGGTATTTGAGGTCTTTGATGGTTTCATAGAAATTTTAGGATTATTTGTTGTATTTCTGTGAAAAATTCCATTGGGAATCGAAGGATTACATTGAATCTGTAGATTGCTTTGAGTAGTATGGACATTTTACCAATGTTAATTCTTCCATACGTTAAGCATGGGATATCTTTTCATTTACTTCTGTCTTTCTTTCATCAGCATCTTACAGTTTTCAGTATACGATTCTTTTACCTTCTTGGTTAAAGATAGACTAGGTAGCCATTTTGGAAAATAAAGCCCAATCTGTATTTCATCTACCATATAGAATAAACTCTAATTAAATTGAATGATTTAATTTTTAAAAATGCAGTCATAATATTACTAGACTAAAACATGAGAGTATTCCTTCATAACTTTGATGTTTGGAAGGACTTTCTAACTAGGATTCAAAATTTTAGGAACTAAAAGAGAAAGTATTAACAAATTTGATTACATAAAAATAAAAAACTTCTACATGGCAAGAAACACTGGTAAGAAAAGTCAGAAGAGAAATGACAAAATGGGGAAAGTATTTACAATTCATATACAGGCACTGAACTTATCATCTAATTTGTAAAGACTAAGAAATTTAAAAAAGAGACCAATGGCCCAGTAGGAAAAGAGTCAAAGGACATCAACAGAAATTTCACAGAAAAAGAAATATAAAAGATCCCCAAAAAGAAAAATACTCAACTCATAATTCAAGAAATACCATTTAAAATTCTACTGACATATAATTTCTTTATCATATTAAATTGATAAAAACAAAATGTTTTGACAAAATACTTTGCTGCCTTGGCTGTGAGGAAATGGGTACTCTCATATATAGCTGGTGTCTGACAAAATGGTCCAGCTGCTATAGTGGGAAACTTGACAGCATCTACCAGAATTACAAATGCATTTTCCATTTGACCTAGCAATCTGATTTCTGAGACTTTCTGGTACAGATATACCTGTATGTATACAAAATGACATATTTACAGGAATATTCATTGCACTATTGTTTGTTAGAGCAAAAGATTGGAAACAACCAAGTATCCATCTAGAGATGTCTGGTTAAATAAACTATGATAAATGCAAAAAATGGACTATATGTACCTATAGAAAAATAAGGAAACCATTAACTTTAGAATTTAAAAATCAAGTACAGAACAGTGTAGATATTATAGTATGTTACCTTCTGTGTAAAAGTGTAGAAAATAATATATATATTTGTATTTGCTTAAAAACATTGCAAAGATATCAAAGAAACTTACGAAATCGCTCATCTGTAAGGGGTTAGGAGGTGGGAGACAAAATGGAAAGGACAAGGTGGGCATAAGACATCGCAATGTTTATTTAAGAAAGGGAAACAAAATATAAAAATAAAAACTCGTCATTAAGGTTGGTGATTTTCTCTAATCATATTCAGTTACATAGATACAGTGATAGAGTAGGAAGAGAGATTTATCTAGGATTCAGGCTTTGCTTATTAGCAAATATGAAAAGGAAGTTCACATCAGGTTCATTATGAAGTTGGATGATTAGCTGAATATAGACTTTAAGTTGGGTAAGAAGGGAGAAGAGGTATGAGTGTGGTGAGTGACAATGTAAAGGGGTCCAGAGAGAAAGACAGCTGATATTTTGGAGATGTTGAAGTTACTATTAATGATGATGTCTAGGATAGTGATACAAAGAGTGAACTAGAGTGGAAGACAAGCTCATTGGAGAGGAGGTGAGGAAATTGGGAGGCCAGGATGATAGATGGAATACTTATATAGATATTTGAAATCACTGAGAATTAAGATAGGAGTAGTATTGGAGATGGTGGCACTGAGCCAGGAGCTAAAATTCCTGAGGGGGAAAAATCTGCATGTTAGCACATCACTGCAATAGGTAGAAATAATGCATGTATAGTCTGATGAAATGATGACATTAGATTTTAGAGAAGGAGGGACAGTTCCTGGCACCAGCAATGAGGAGAAGAGAGGACAGAGTGAGATTGAGGAAAGAGTAAGATTGTAGGAGAAAAACCAGCCACCCAGTTGAGATGTCCTCACAGGAAATGGTGTTGTCAGGGGAAAATGGTTAATTGAATCACACATGGGAAATCTTTGAACTTTTCCACAATTTTGACTTTTCCAGATAGACATTATGGGAACTGGTGTAGGGTGTTCTCACTGGGTGGAGAGACATTTTTTATAATCCAGTTTCAGAAGTCACATAGTTATTTCTGCTGTACTTTATAAGTTGAGTAAGTCACAGCTGTTTTCCCAGGATCAGGTTCAAGGGCAGAGGACATAGACCTTATACCAGTGGTGTGGGGGCATGTCAAGGTTACACTGAAGAAGAGCATATGGGATGGGAGTTGTTGTTCTATCTATCCTTGGAAAATACAATCTGCACTGGATATTTACTAAAGAATTTGCATGAAAAGTAAAAATGGTTATGACATAATGGTCATAATGATGAAGAAAAATCTTCAAGTCCTTTTTCTCAAGTTGGAGGTTTTCATAAAACATTCTGGAAAGATTAAAAAAATTCCAACTATTTAACTTAGTTGGAAACCTCTACTTATTTTTTTAAATTTCTAGATGACTGATTTTCCATCCTGTGCAAGAGGATGTGTCTGCAAAAATTGAATTTTTAAGAACATGGAAGCACTCTGCTTCATTTCCACTAAATTTCTTTTTGACCCATGTTACAAGCTTCCACCTTTGCCTATATACTCACTATACACTATATATATATAGTATATATATATAGTGTATATATATATAGTGTATATAT